GTATGTATGTATGTATGTATGTATGTATCTCTCTTTGCAAGCGGCACACAAAAGGAATAGAATAGGGCTGTTTCGTTGTTACCCAGAGTTTCATGGCAAAAACCAGTCATCAGATAATCATCAGATGATTAGTTTTTGCAACGAAACAGCCCTATTCTATTTCCTTTTGTGTATCTCCTGCGCACTACACTCTGGCCATTACGGGCATTTGAGCACTGCTGCATTTCCTCTGTATGTCTCTTTCTGTGTATCAATGTGCTGGTTGGATCTCTATGGTTTGTGTGTGTGTGTGTGTGTGTGTGTGTGTGTGTGTGTGTGTGTGTGTGTGTGTGTGTGTATGTGTGTGTGTGTGTGCGTGCGTGCACAGGATACTGAAGCGGCTCACAAGTTGCTGACTGAACTCGGCAAACAGGCCGATCCTGCTACGCTGGCATCGTTCCTTAGCAGCCAGCACAGGATATCCGCGCCGTATCGACGGATTGCGCCGAAAGGTGGAACGCCATTCGGGGGATCGCCGGTGGATCCACCTTTGCAACCGACGTTATCGGCAAAGGTGACGTCTACTGTCTTGGCGCCTAGCTCGACGGCTCAACCCAAGCTGAGTAATACAGAGCAGGTCCATTCGATACGCATACGCCCGGAGAAAGGCACCGGGTTCAAGCTGTTACCCAGCAGAGCGAACACATCAGCAGGTAACTCAACGACAGCTGGCAATCAACGGTCGCCATTGCCAATCTCGCCGAGCCGGCCTGGCATTCAGGAGAGTTGCGGCGATCGCACCGAGGCACGACCGCAGCAGGCCGTTGAGAAGGGGAAGGTCAGAACTCTCTCTGCGGCCCCGACAGCGTCGTTCCACTCAGCAGACGCGCGCGATCAGGCGCGCATGGTGACATACTCTGGTAGTCACGGCAGCGACATCCAGCAAGCTGGCCGCCGTAACGATGCGCCATGCATCCAGTATGAACTGCCGTCCAACGTGAAGACCCGCCAGTTATACCCGGAAGCAGCAGCTGCAGCAGCAGCATCACAGCAGCAGCGACCACGCAAAGGCCTGGGCAGTCCTGTTTTCGCGCACTCTGCCAGTTTGCCTAAGCGCGTTTCTGTCCTGTCGCGCAAGATGAAAGCGGCCACTCAGTCGGTCTTCAGCAGGGCATTGCACGGAAGAAAACCACCGACAGTCGTTCCAAGAGAGGCGTCGTCAAATGACCAGCGCTTTGACAATGGCTTCTCCATACCTCCTCCTCCTGTACTATGCCGCAGTGGTATTTTTGATCAGAGTGTCTCAGTTCAAGATCTTGATAACGTCTTCAACGGCCAGTTTGCATCGTTCGTGGATGGTATGAGCTCCAGTGTGCGGAGCACAATGCTGGGCCAGCACTTGAATGCTGTCAGAGTGATTGTACCGCCTGTGTGTTTGACTACTGCCAATGTCGATGGCGGGAGTCCCGTTTCTTTGCCCGACAGTGGAGATGGTCACTCCGCCGAGTTGCAGAATGTTTTGCCGCAGCTGCAAGCGCCATCCCTGGTACAGTGTTCACTAGACGGCGGTGTGGATATGAATACTGATGAACAGCGTGCAAACACTGACCTAGCCATCGCAGCAACACCGCAGCCACAGCCGCCGCAACACCGCACCGGCTTTCGCAGCCCGCCCGACAGTCACGTGATAAGATCTCCAAGGCAATTTGCACCTCAACAGCCGCTGCGGCAGCCACCTCGGGAGCCTGTCGAGATGGAGATCGACTATGGACACAGACGGAGAACACATCAACCGGCACAGTCGAAACAGATGCAGCAAGGTGTTAATGGGTTTGGAAATCCGGGCCACGATCACCTTAGAACCATGCAGACGACGCAACCCAGGCAGCAAGAAGGCACCCAACAAACGAAAAAGCGAATGCCAAGCAAACAGCTGCGATATCAGCAAGCATCAAGATCATCACAGGTACATCCATTGCAAGGGCAGATCCTGAACGGCCGCCAACAACTCCCAAGCAAGGGACCGCAGCTGTACCAGCAACGGCAACACCAGCAGCACCAGCAACAAGGGCAGCAGCAGCAACAACTGCAACAGCAGCACCAACGACAGCAACAACAGCTGCAACAACAGCAGCAACAGCAACAGAGACGAAGCATCCAACAGCCCAATGAGCTAGGGCACACCAGTCAGTCTAAGCCAATCCAATCGTCACCTTCGGACTCAACCATTGTTAGCCGTTCTCAACACCCGAAATGTGCTACTACCGCTAATCGCCCGGGTAACGGACAGAGTTCAAACGCTGCCATGCCGGCAAGATCATCTCCTCACCAGCAGCTACAGCAGCAGCAGAAACAGCAGCAGAAGCCCCCAGGCTCATCTCCACAGTTGCTGGCGAAGGTAGTGAATGGCCATACCGGAACATCTGCCACCACCGCGGCTGCTAACCGTCCGATGTGCATCGGCTGCAAGCGGCCGGCTTCCAGCATATGTTCAGTGTGCCGGAAGGTCTGGTACTGCAGCACAACGTGTCAGGTCAGTCTGCAGATATGCCACTGAAGGCTGTGTGTTATTGGGGTTGGCCGCACAGGGAGCAACAAGAAAAACGGGGTGAAACCATGTGAATTGTCGACAGTCAATGGTAAACCTCAAAACAAACAAAAACAAACAACTGTCAGACAGTCTTACGAGCTACTAGCACCACCGTTTCTCAAGCAGCTCATGCGCAACGCAAATGTGTGTTCTCTTTTGAAGTAGTTTGGAATTTTGAAAAGGGGTGCCACCTGCTATTGTGTGCGTTGCTTTCCGATAGGATTCACAGGTGCTTATCCCTTCACAGAGCATTATGTGAAAAGAATTACACTCGTTGGTTTTCGAGGGAAAGACGCAAACGGGAAAATTCTGAGGAAAAAGTTGACTATCACCACCAGGACTCCAACCGGGGACCCTCGCTTGTAGCTAGCGATGCTCTAACCACTGAGCTATGGTGTAGTCATCAGCTCATAAGAGACCGTTCAACAGTTTCTTCAGACTTCGTCACTCACACTTCCCGTGAATCCACACGGGCGGGTGGGACGCAGCCCTCACTGTAACCCGCACACACTTCACGTACAAACTAGCACGCGAGGAGCCCCAAGTCATAAACTATTCACTGGTCTGAGGGAAAGATGCAAACGGGTAAAGTCGTATTTCTGTTATCGGGGCAGTCCGGGCCCGGGAACTGCCCATTACCCCCGGGAACTGCCCATAACCCCCCCCCCCCCCCCCCGGGAACTGCCCATAACTTGGAAATTTACATACTGTAGTGTCGCGTATAGAAGCATGACCTGTATAGAAGCATGACCCGTGTAGAAGTATGACCCGTGTAAAAGCACGACCCGTGTAGAAGCATGACTCGTGTAGAAGCCGATTTTTTGAAGGGCGTCTTGACACAGAAGCACGATTTGAATAGAAGCATACGTGCAAGTACGTGTATGACAATGTGCACTGTACATTGTAGACTGGAGATATTGACGTAGAAACATGTTTTGAATAGAAGCATAACTTGGATAGAAACATGGTTTGAACCCAGGCTTACATGTATACGGCCGTAAGCACCTGCTTTTATACACGACATTACGGTAACTCTGAATTACAGCCAGAGACCTGGGATATGACGTCACCATTTCCGACAAAAGAATGACAAAAGGGTTGTGATGTTTCCCTAACTGTCACCCCACAGGGTGCCCGGTAGACCGAGTTTGCCGTAATTGGAGGTCCGGATAAGAGAGATACGAGTGTAACTCCTTTGTTCCCCAGGAGGCGCGTCTGTGCATTGCAAGACACACGCTATTGGTGTGCAGGGGCGTCGGGAGGTATTCGACATCGGTGCGGCCGCACGAGTACTGTAGGTGGAGGTCCGGGGTCCCCCCCCCCTAGGTGGAGGTCCGGGGTCCCCCCCCCCAGGTGGAGGTCCGGGGTCCCCCCCCCAGGTGGAGGTCCGGGGTCCCCCCCTAGGTGGAGGTCCGGGGTCCCCCCCCCCCCCTAGGTGGAGGTCCGGGGTCCCCCCCCCTAGGTGGAGGTCCGGGGTCCCCCCTAGGTGGAGGTCCGGGGTCCCCCCCTAGGTGGAGGTCCGGGGTCCCCCCCCTAGGTGGAGGTCCGGGGTCCCCCCCCCCAGGTGGAGGTCCGGGGTCCCCCCCCCTAGGTGGAGGTCCGGGGTCCCCCCCCCCCCCAGGTGGAGGTCCGGGGTCCCCCCCCTAGGTGGAGGTCCGGGGTCCCCCCCCCCCTAGGTGGAGGTCCGGGGTCCCCCCCCCCTAGGTGGAGGTCCGGGGTCCCCCCCTAGGTGGAGGTCCGGGGTCCCCCCCCTAGGTGGAGGTCCGGGGTCCCCCCTCCCCCCCCCCCGGGAAACTTTTAGGGAAATTGGGCCCATATTTCGCTGCTTCAAAAGTCACAAGATGAAATTATTGGTGTGGCTTTGGCCGCACCTGCCGCACCGGTTCCGACGCCCCTGGCGTGTAGCGTATTTGCCGGAGTATAAGCCGCACTTTCAACACTCAAAGTTCACTCCTGAAAGGGGGGGGGTGCGGTTTACACTCTGATGATCAACTTTATGATGACATATAGATTTGGTTTAACTCGGATACTGAGCCAGTAAATATAGTTAAAATAGAAGAAATCACGATCATAGAATCTTGTTACAGTCGTGGACGGTTGCTTCATAACTCGTTTCCATCTGATTTCTTCTATTTTTATAGAGTAGATGTGTGTATTTTGTGACAAGAAATGGGGGAGTGCGGCTTATACTCCGGAAAATACTGTACTGTAAAAGCCATTATTCTAACGAGGCGCATATTTAACGATTTCCCAAAATTGACTAGTTTACGTGTACCAAAGGTAACGATTCTCACTCATTATCAACGCTCAATAGGACAGTACATGTATCGATTTCGGTATAACAATTTATATTTTAACGACAGATATCTCCTCGTTAACTCGTTAGAGTTAGCACTTCGTTATATTAGGGAGGTTTCGCTCTACGGAATTA